TCGTCTCTTTTTTACCGTTTTACCCATCTATTAAAATAAAACAAACACAAAAGAAAAGAAAAATAAATAATAAATTGCAATTATGGGTTCAAACTTTTAAAAAGGTGCAAATTAGTCACAAATATGAAAAAAAACCATCACCCATAAGCCGCCACCTTTGAAGGCAAAATCTCCAACCTCCGATCACCTTGGCCGCCGGACCAACATACCACCTTGAAGCCCTCATTGCCCTCTTCACAACCCTCCCAACCACCAGCCTTAACTCTGACAGAATTGACCGGAATCGAGCTTCAAACATCGCCGCATGAAATGCGGTAAAAAGCCGAAATCACGTCGTCCGACCACCTTCCTGGCCGGAACATACCACCGGCCAACTCCCCTACTCAGGACGACCTCAACCATGCAAACAATTTAGCCCGAACAGCAAGGATAAGATCTGAATTTCAAATTGAAAGCTGCTGTCGTGATTGTCGCGATACCGCACCAATTTTCCTCCTATTCAGGCGTCGCCGTGACGACCCAGGGTGGCGGAACACCTAGGCTGGGTGCGCCATCACCTGGCGCACCTAGCCCAGCTATGGGTCCCCTTCAATTTGAGTCCAATCATCTTCAATCTGGGTCTGAAATGTTCGCTGGTGCAAACTCGCGATTGACTTGTTTTTGCTTTGAAATTGGTGGTTGTTGGTTGCTTGTTGGAGGAAATTGTTTACATAGGTAGCTTCGACTTGATGAGGGGAGTCGACCAGTGGTGGATTTCGGCCGGTTGGGTAGCCGGACGACGAGTTGTGGGTGTTTGATCGATTTTCAGACTACAATTTTTGAATCTGATTTCCAGCCAAATTACAATGGGTTGTGGGGATTTCTTGGTATGTAGTTGTAGAGGGTAATGAGGTATTCATGTTGGGACCAATATCCAATGGTTTGGGCGGCCGGACGAAAAATGAGCTCATGTATTTGGCTGAAAAGGGACAAGAGAGATTTTTTTTTTCTTTTTAATATTTTTATAAATTTTGGATTGATTTGCATTTTTTAGAAAGTTTAGGAGTAAGATTGCAATTTATTCCTGCTTTTTCTTTTCTTTTTTGTTTTATTTATATAGGAGGGTATTTTAGTCATTTTATGTTAAAAATGGTCAAAAAGACGTTTTGCGCAAAGAATGTGAAAGGTATGGATGTTTTGCGCCAATTACCCTACAAAAAATTCAAACATTGTTGCTTTTGAACACCAATAAATACATTTATTAACTTTCACGAGTCAAAAAAACATTTAAGTTTGATTCCCATTTTTGGGGTAAAATGTAGGCTTAATTACACAAAACGTCTGTACGTTTGTCATATAGTGTGCAAAAAGTCTCTACGTTTTAATTTTTTGCATTTTCACCCTTATTTCAACGTTTCATAGCGGAAAACGTCATTTTCACATATTTTTAACGTAAAATGATCAATATACCCTTCTATTAAAATAAAATAAAAAAATAAAATAAAAGAATAAATTGCAATCTTACTCCTAAACTTTTTTAAATGGATAAAATGGTAACTTTTCATTAAATATAAAAAACAAAAAACAAAACCTAATCACTATTTATCATCTCCCTCCCTCCCTCCCTCCTACACCCCACCTCCTCCTAAACTCAAAACCAGTTGGTCATGTTTTACCCCTCCTTGCCGCCTCCGCCCTCCTCCACCGACTTTGCCACTTTTCCCACCAATGTCTCCTCCCTAATTCTTCCATCCTATTCCTCACACTCTAACAACCCATTTCTCATATTATTTGGTCCAAAGTCAATTTCGCTTATTCTGAAAAAAAATGAAGCTTTCTGTTTCTCACCTCATCCCCTGCTGTTGCTGGGGATTTTGGGCACTACTATTATTAGGGGTAAAACAATTAAGGTTTTGTGGGTGAGGCAAATTGGGGATCAAATTAGAATTAGGGATTTGAGATGGAGCGTGTTGATGTTCAGGCTGATGAGAAGCAGGGGGGCGGTGGTGAAGGAGGGGGCGGTGGTGAAGGAGATGATGCTGAGGAGGGCGAAAATGAGCATCAATGTTGGATGGGAATTGAGAAATGGTGTCTTACTGTTGTTTCTGGCACTGAAGCTGCTACAAGAAAAGGAACTGTTGCAGCTGCGCCATTGCCGCCACCTTGACATCTTCAATTTTTCTTTGTACTTTGAGTTTATGGTGGATCAATCAGGATTCAAGGGCTTATGGTAGAAGAAATAAATGTGAAAGAGTTACAGAAACATGCATGCTGGGTACGTTGAAGTCCCTACCATGGGGTTAGGATGGTTGGTTGGTTTGGGTGATGGGAGTTGTGGTGGTGGAGTGCATCGGTGGTGGCTGGATGGGCAAGGGACAATTTTCTGGTTTTGATTGGGTGGGGTGGGGTGGGGTGGGGACAATCTTCTCCTCCGCCTCCCTCCCCTTCCACCACCGCTGCGGTGAAATTCTGATGGTTTTATCGGCAACGGTGGTGGAGGAGAAGAGAGTTTTTTTGTTATTTTTAATATTTTTATAAATTTTGGACTCATTTGCATTTTTTTAAAAAAAA